TGGCTGCGATGCGAAATGCAGTGAGCTCCGAATTTGCAAGTGCATCCTGCGTCTCTGATAAACCAGTATCACACCTATATCAAAAAAAAGGAAGAAGCCGAGTGTTACTTCATTGTGGGGTTATAGTGCCATTAATGAGATGATAGTAGCTGTAGACTACAAAGATCGGTCCAAAAGAGACCAAGCGTGGCGCGAAATTAAAAAAAAAAAAAATCCCGCACATACAGTGGAAGACTGCAAAGGGAAATGGGCCAATGTACATGTTGATCGTTATGATATCCAAGGTAACCTCGTTTCGGGAGAGTGCAGTCGTGCTCCTTTACTGCAGATCGAGCCAGGAACTGAAGAAATGCCAACACCGTATAAACCACCACAAGCAAAACTCATCCGAGAAGAATACGAAAGATATTTTATGTCATCAATTGGCGAACTGCCATGGCAGTATAAATTTATTTAAAAAAACTTTTTGATCAGTCTTGACTATTTTTCTTCTACTTATTTAATCTTCATTATTTTTGTATAAAAGTATAGCTCATTGTCTAACAAAAACTACATAAATCCAGACCGCAAGCTTTATACACAAATTATAAACATTTCTTAAACTTTTGAACACAATCCCACGGTTTTAACTTGGATTTCTAGAAAAAAAATTGTTATTTAGATTTATAGCTCATTCAAATTTAGTGCAATAAGGTGGAAGTTTGAAGTTGCTAAAAAATCCTATTGATTTCTTATATTTTTTTTAGCTGACGGTATTATGCACTTTATTCTCTGTAAATTACTTTGTAAACTGCATAACAAATTTTTTTCTAGAAATCCAAATTGAAAACCATTGAATTTTGATCAAAAGTTTAAGAAATGTTTATAATCTTTTTATAAAGTTTGAAATTTGGACTTATGTGGTTTTTACTAGGCAGTGAGCTATGGTTTTATAGGAAAAAATTAACATTAAACAAACAGAAGAAAAAAGTCAAGACTGATCAAAATGTTAAGGTGCTATCTTTTGTTGCGGGCTGTACATATAATTATAAAATTTCATTCCAAACATAAATTACGTAAATTCGCAGCTTTAATTTAAACAAACATAACTATTTTGCACCAATTTTACTTATAATGAACAAAAAAAACCTCTACGTAACAAAATTAAAAAGAAAACTGATGCAACTTGAACTCCACATAGCACGTTGCAGTTATCGTCGAAAAATAAAAAAAAACTATACACTCAACCTTCTAAATAAATGCGTGAGTTTTCACTGAACACAAATTTTTGCTTCTTTGCTTTCAAACAACAACAAATTTGCACATAATGAGCCCGCAATATACAAAGCAGAGGCAATTGTTTTATTTTTTTAACCGACTTCCGAAAAGGAGGAGGCTATCAGTTCGTCGGAATATTATTTTCTTTTATTTTTTTTACTTTCTTTTTTGTTTAATATTAATTATTTTTTATGTATGTTACCGCATAACTTTGGACCACGTCAACCGATTTCGATAATTCATTTTGCATCTGAAAGGTAGTGTCTCAGAGGTGGTTAAGATCATGATATATATACATATATATTTTTTGATATGAGAGTTGAAGTCGGTTTTTTTTTTGCTAAAAATTACTTGTTTTTATTAAGAATACGCCATTTTTACACAACAGAGAAAAAAACAGAATTTAGAAGTCAGCGCAACACCTTATGGTCACAATTGCCGCATGCTCGAAAAATCGTGTGATAAGTTTGGGGCAATTATTATCACTATATTGCTTTTCGCCAACTTGCGGCAATCAGAGTTGTATAAAAAGAGGCAACCGTGTGACTGTACAGAATTTCATTGTGACAATTTTTTTATTGTGCTCCAATACAGCACAGGAAAAATTGTTCCAGATTGGTGCATTTGCGGCAATCGTGGGATCTCAGCTTNAGAGTTGTATAAAAAGAGGCAACCGTGTGACTGTACAGAATTTCATTGTGACAATTTTTTTATTGTGCTCCAATACAGCACAGGAAAAATTGTTCCAGATTGGTGCATTTGCGGCAATCGTGGGATCTCAGCTTAAGTTCGGGCGGAGCCGAACATTAAATACCCGGCGCAAGTATTAAATATATGATTTATTTTGGAACGAATTTCCGTCATCCCTTGTCAAGTTTGGTTTGCAGACAAACCGGTTTCGGCATTGTGCCATCTTCAGTGAAAGTGGCAATCAAAAGGCGACATTTTTTGTTAGAAACGAAATCACCATAAGGAATTACAAATACAAAAACTTATGATTTTTTTATTTTTTTTTTTCAAATAAATATCTCAAAAAAATATCAGAAAACAAGTAAGAAAGTCTAAGTTCGGGCGGAGCCGAACATTAAATACCCGGCGCAAGTATTAAATATATGTTCTCCACCTTTCCGAAAACTACCACTACATTGGAAGTCGGGGTGCTTTTACCCCTATTTTAAACATCTTCGATAGAACGTTCAGTTAGACATAATGAGATAAACTTTTGTAGTCATATGTGGGCGATATCACGCCCATTTTCCAAAATTCCAAACAATGTTACTTCTTTTCAAGGGATTGTTTTTAGTATCAATTTTGAGTAAATTAGCGTCCTTAAACTTCGAAATACTGAAGTTTCAAGCATTTCTGAAATTTACCGTTATATGAACAGCGGCCGTAATTTTGGTCCGATGTCAATAATTTTCAACGTTTTGCTTTTATTTGGAAAGCACAATAACCATACCGAGTTTGGTACAAATTGGTACGAGAGTTACCGAGATACATATATGTGATCATAAGTGGGCGCTGCCAAGCCCATTTTCCAAAATCTTACCATAAATGTATTTCTTCGTAAAGAATTATTGCAAGCATCAGTTTTGAATAAATTAATATTTACTGATTTATCGAGTATTTCGTATTTATCTAAATTACCGTTATATGGGATATGGGCGTGGTTATTGTCCGATTTTAAAAATTTTCGGCCATTTGGTATGTTGTACCCGGGCCAAGAAATGTGAGAAAGTTTGTAAGAAATTGGTGCAGCAGCTACGAAGATATACACGTGTAACTATAAGTGGACGTGGCCACGCCCGTTTTCCAAAAATTTGTAATATTCTTATTTTTCGTCTAAATATTATTGTAAATATCGATTTTGAGAGAATAATCTTCAGTTACTAAAATATCACAGTATTCGTATTTCTGAAAATTACCGTAATATGGGAGGTAGGCGTGGTTATTGTCCGGATTTGCCCATTTTCAATACTATCCGTCCTACGCCCGAAAGAAGTGAACATACTAAGTTTCATTAAGATATCTCAATTTTTATTCGAGTTATCGTGTGCACAGACGGAGGGACGGACAGACGGGCGGACGGACGGACAGACGGGCGGACGGACGGACGGAGGGACAGACGTTCACCGCGTATACGATTTCTCTTTTCATTCTGATCATTTATGTATACATTTGTCTATACTACGATCCTGTGCGGTTCCGCCTCTGCTTGGCCTTCAAGTGATAAATTTTGTATTGATCAAAGATAGGTAATTTTTTTGTCAAAAGATTTCGCACCAAATTCAAATGGGCGTAAATCAAAAAAAGAAAGAATATGCGAAATACATTTGCATTTATTGTAAAATATACTAAAATATGCGCAATAAATATGAAAAACAGATATTCTTGCAAAATAAGTAAAATCATGCATTTACTGCAAATATGTATGAGAAGCTAAATCCAACGAAATCAAAAAGATTCGCACTCTGATAATCCCGAAGTACAACTAAGTACTTGGCATCTCCGAGGTTGTTTTTTTATCAACGCTGTAAGACTTTGGAACATCATTCCTGAATCCGTTAAATCTGGACTAAGTAAGAGCAACTACAAGTTGATCATATATAGGTACTTTAAGCCTACACACTGAAAATAAAATTTCGTAAAAGTGCTACGAAGAACTTTCGTAGTATTGGTTTTTGTACAATGTACGAGACTTTCGTGCATAATACGAACACTTTTTTCACAACGAAACAAGATTTTATGAATCATACGTAAATATAACGAAAGGACTTTCGTAAGGCATTTTTGCAGTACTATTTACGAAATCTTACGTTTATTTTACGAAACACATTTGTAAATCACTGAACAAATCTCTGTACGAATAATTTTGTATATTGTAGGAATGCATTCGTAATATTTACGTATGGTTTTAAAATTTAAGAAATCTACAATTCTGTATTCGTACAATACTTTTGTATAAAGTACAAACGCAGAAACATGTTTTTTATATTCGTACAGCATACGACTATTTTAGTACAATATACTAAATTAACTTAATATTTCATTTCCTTTTTGGTTGTTGTTGTTTCCGACAGGGTGGGTGTATGATGTATTTTGGAACGAATTTCCGTCATCCCTTGTCAAATTTGGTTTGGAGACAAACCGGTTTCGGCGCTATGCCATCTTCAGTGTCATTTTTCGTTCTGCATAATTTTTGTTGGTTGCTCGTATTTATACTCCTTGTTAACTACCTCTTTCTTCTGTTAGGTACGTCTTTTTAGTTTTGCAGTGTTTGCGGTGCTCAATAGGTAGTTGACGGCAGGTAGAAGTCCGTGATTTTTACCCTCTTTGTTTTTGCAGTTGGAGTATTCCCTTCCATGTCTGTCCTTAATATTTTGTTGTTGTCATTTTTCTTCTCGTACAGTAGTTTTAGAGGTTCAAACAGTACGGCCGATACAGTATTTATTTGCTCATTTATTATTTGTCCTTTGAAGGTCTTCTGTTTATATATTTCCATATTTTCTAATATATTCAATTTTTGTCCTTTATGTTGTACACGGAGAAGTTCTGTTGTTTGTCCAATCTTCATTGGTGTGCATTTATTTTTGATCATGTGATTCGCGAAGTTCGACTCTATTGCAGCCTCTGGTTTACGCCTTTTCTTATTATAATCCCTTATGTGTTCTCGATAACTGTGTCGGCACTCGCAGGTTAACTTGTAAACACTCTGTTTATCTAGCGGGTCTTCCTCACTTATTTTCTCTTTCAATATATTTCCCACTGTGTTCCTTGTTTTAAATGATGTCTGAATGTCGTACTTATGAAAGAATTTGGCAAGTTTGTAAGATGTCTTTCCTGTGTAAGTTAGAACTGCCCAAGTTTTTTTTTATTGTTTTCCTCTTTGCTAGTCTTTTTCGATTTTCTGTCCTTTCTTAACTTCTCCACCAGGCCTCTCCTATATCCGTTATTTTCCGCAATGGCATATATTGTATCCAGTTCCTTCTTGTAGTCGTCTTCTGTTAGAGGGGTCCTTTCAAGCCTCGTTATTAGTTGTCTAAATGCTGCATTTTTGTGTTGCTGTGGGTGGTTTGAGCTATTGTGTATAATTGTGTCTGTGGCTGTTGGTTTTCTGTATATTTCGAACTCTATCTTGTTCGTGGTATCGTTTATTTTAATTGTTAAATCCAGATAGTTAATCTTTCTTTCCTCTTCCGTTTCCATGCTGAATTTTATATTCTGGGGTTGTTTGTTGAGATAGTCTAGTATCTGTTTCTCTTTGTTTCCCTCTATTAGACATATTACATCATCGACATATCTCGCGTAGAATTTTACTCCTAGGTTGGTCGACAGGTTTTTCATGTATTTCTCCTCCAGTGTTTGCATGAATACTTCCATGAGTATTGCTGACGTCGGATTGCCCATTTCTAACCCGTTAATTTGTTTATATATCTTATTGTTGAACCGGAAGTAGTTTTGTTTTAATGTAACCTTCAACGCGTTTATTATTTCCGTGGCAGCCTCTCTTTTCATTTTTCACATCATTATTTTCTTGTACGGTCTTTATGGTTTCTATTGTTGGTATCGATGGGTAAAGGTCCTTGATGTCGAATGATACGAATTTAGTGTTTTCGTTGATCTTCAACGATTTCATCTTCTCGATTAGTTCCGTTGTATTTGTAATAGTATATTTATTGCATAGATCCAGGTTATC